AAATTAAGTTACCACAATGGGTATAGTAGTAAATAATAGGGTTTCCCCAATGTAGTAACTTAATTTAAGTTCCTTAACAGCAACCCAGACGAGCAGCAAGTTCCGAGCAGCACGTTCCTTGACTTCCCGAATAAGTAGCGTTTCATTGTGCGTCAACCAAGTAAGATTGTAGATCATGTTTTTCTTGTGAAGTAATATACTGGTACTCTAGCGGAGTATCTAATCTTACCCCATTAACCCATACTGGGTGCCATAATACCCAATCAAGATACTGCTCACATTGAAATTCCCGCAAGCTTTTTCTGCCGCCTCATTCAAGCTACAGGGGCGCGGGATCTGCTTGGAAACCCATACCACATTTGTTCAAATTTCAGTCCCCTAAACCCTAAACCCTCGAAACTGAAAGCTGTTGCAAAAGGCCTGCTGCAAAAAGGGACCACCTGCGGAGAAGGCTGCATGTTCTCAGCCAAAAACAACTGACATATTTAGCGAATGCTGTTGGGTTCAGCCAGGTGGAGGTAAATATGGGGACCCACAGAACGAAATTTCTGGAAACTCCCATGTCAACATGCAGGTTCAGAAGGACCGATTGGCTCTCTACGCGCCAGCCTGCCGACGATTCTCGCGAGTAGCCAGGCACCTTCTCGTCCAGAAGCACCTGGCTATGCATTGGCTTTGAAACTAGTGTGGTGATGGAACCCTGGTAGAAAATTTCTGACTTTCACAAAGCCCAAGCTGGCAAGAACCTGTTACCCAGCTGCACGCAAATTTCATGAGCATAGCCAGGCTTCTGGGACTTCAGCCCGGCACCACACTGGCATGCCGTCGCCGGAAGAAGGCCGCCAGTGGATCTTCCTGCAAGGCAAGTTTTGTAAGCCTCAACATCACAGGCGAGTGCGGAAGCCGTCCTCTGGATTGTCGGGCAAGGCAAAGAGAGGCGAAGTCTCCTTTTACCAACACATTCAGAAGCAGAAAGCCACGGTGACCCACTGTCATAGACCGGTTCCTTTGTGCGAAGGCCCACTATCAATGAGCAAACACAACTCAGAGTAGCGGCCGTTAAGTACAAGCGTGTATTACCACTCACGCGACTAGCTGGTAGATACTACAGCCACGCCTTCAGCGCTCTCTCCTCGGCAAGGTCAACCTCGCACGCAGCTGCAGCAATGCAGCACTCAGCACAATTTGCTCTGCATTGGCAAAACCAAGAAATCCGAAGAGAATACCCATGATTTGAAGAACTCCGATCTATGGGGATTTCCCAAAATTAGGGGTACCATTTTGGGGGTCCCCATAATAAGGAGTATAGTATATTGGGGTCTATTTTGAGGTTGTGCCTAGGATCTGGTCTCTGAGCGGCTTACCAGACCCGAAGGGCAAGTCGTCACATGCGGCGACGCTAAGAGCGACTTCGGAGCGACGGGAACTGCCAGGCTCTTCCCAAGCAGTGGCAACTATGTAGGAATTATATGGGGTAATATAGAGGTTATATGGGAATTCTATAGGAGTTATATAGGGATTATGTAGAGATGTGGCAACGGGGACCCCAATAATGGAGAATCAAATGGAAAAGAAAATGGAAAATGAAATGGAAACTACTACATTATGATAGGGTATATATTGGGGTTATGATGGGATTAATGGAAAATAAAATGGAAACTACTATAATGGAGAATCAAATGGGAAAGAAAATGGAAAATTTAGTGGAAACTACTACATTATCATAGGGTATATATTGGGGTTATATTGGGATAGTGGAAAATAAAATGGAAACTATTACAGTATATTGGGCTCATATAGGGATAATGGAAAAGAAGATGGAAACCCCTATCTTATATAGGGGTTATATAGGGATAATTGAAAAAGAACATGGAAACTACTATTTTGGGCTTGGGGTTTAGGGGTAATAAGCTGACTCTGCAAAGAGGAAATTACGCCCAAATTATGGAGAATGGAACGGACAATACAATGGGAAGTGACATGGAAACTGGGCATATACAGGGGTTTCATATTCTACGATGAGGCTCTACACATTTACATGTTGTCAACCTATACTGCGTTGTGTCAAAGTTTAGCGCTCGTATTCAAAGATGGGTGCAGGCTTCCAGTTTTTCATTCCCCCCGTCTTTCGGGCGCGGGGTGGTCAACCACCCTCTTGGGTGATCATCCCTTGCATTGGCCCCTTGCAAGGCTGCAGTTGTGCAAAGCATGGGCATGCAACGGGCGAAGTGGAATCCTTTCCATCGAGCGGACGGGTACCCTCCCGGCCGCCAAAAGTATTTTGCAAGGATTCCTAGGTATTTCTGCCTAGAAGACCACACAATGTTTAGAAATTGGTCCAGGCCATTTGAAAGCCCAGGCAGGAGGCGGACCCCAACCCCTCCATGGATCTATTTTGGTGTATTGTGTAGGGCCCTCATAAGGATTAGGATCCCGAGGTATTCCTTCCTAGAAATCCTAGTTAAAGATTAGTAAGGATTCCTAGTATTCCTACACCCTAAACCCTAAACAAGGATTACAGGCCACCCTCAAAAATCATGGGCATTTCCTCTTTCCTCACTCCGCTCTCCTCTTCCTTGACTTTGCATGTGCAGCCGACAAAAACCTGAACCACATACCCCCAAACCCTAGACCCTAATCACAGTTCCAAGCTCCTTTGTCCCCATGAAGCATTCCTGCGGACTCCCACATAACAAAGGCTGGTGCAACATGTGTTCCTGGACCTATTTTCTCGGACCTGAAGAAATAGGTGGGAACCACTGTAAGATCCACCAGCAAATCAGGCCCGGACCAATTTCTGACCACCCCACCCCTACCTAGCCACCCCCCAGACCCACATAAAGGGCAGGAATCTTTTTCAATTTTTTGAGAGTGTCGGCGTCGGGTGGGATGAAGGGTCCGCGGCCACTTGCCCCACTTGCCCCACTTGCCCCACTTGCCCCACTTGCCCCACTTGCTCCACTTGCCACCTCTTTCCTCATAATCTGGCCCCCTCTGCTCAAGAGGCTCCAGACAAGGCACTTGAGGGCCCCATCCTGCCCCACTTGACCTACTTGCCCCACTTGGCAAGTGGGTCAAGTGGTTCAAGCAGGGGCAGTTGGGCAAGTGTGGTTCAAGTGGGGCAAGCGGGACAAGTGGGGCAAAAGGGGCAAGTGGGTCTAGTGGGACACGTCGGGCAGGTGTGTCACGTGGGTCAAGGGGGGCAAGTGGGTCAAGTCGGGCAAGTGGAGCAAGTGGGGCAAGTGGGGCAGGTGGGGCAAGTGGGTCAAGTGGGGCAAGTGGGGCAAGTGGGTCAAGTGAGGCAAGTGGGGCAAGTGGGTCATGTGGGACAAGCGGGTCAAGTGGGACAAGTGGGGCAAGTGGGGCAAGTGGGGCAAGGGGGGCAAGTGGGTCAAGTGGGGCAGTTGGGTCAAGTGGGGCAAGTGGGGCGAGTGGGGCAAGGGGGACGGACGCCTTTAATGTTCCTTTCTTTGCGATCGCAATTTTTTCTGTATTTTCCCTTCACTGTCACTTCACTGTCACTAGCTACCGCACAAGGGATTGCAGGTTGCGAGACATCGCCAATCTTTAGCAAAACCAAAAGACTGCACCTTATGCGTCGGGTTAGAAGGCCACGGAAAACGACGTTCGGTTGGAAGACCTTGCTATCGAAGCGCCTTGTCTCCAATGCTGTGGGTGACGCACATATGAGGGCTTTAGCGTGCCGCCTGGACCCAGTTGCCAGGTTTGTGGGCTGCAGCTTGCATTCCAAAATAATGTGCAGGATGCCAAATGTGTACGCAGAGACCGACGCACGTAAGGTGGCTGCGAGGTGCGAGAGTCCTTCAGAGTTGCGACGGAGAGAGGTCACTGGCCGTGTTCAGGTAGATTCCCAGGCGCCCAAGGGTCTTAAAACCACTGAGTTCACTTTTAATTACCTTTGGTGCTCCTTATTAGGGGGGTTTGTTGTAGTTGAGGTCCAAAAATCCTACCCCATAAGTCTGCAGCTTATCTTCTCATTCTTCTGGTCCGGCATAGATGGCCTTTGCGAAGTGGTCCGCAGAAATGGATCGCTGGCAGTGTTTCAGCTGTCCAGGGGGGACACTGTCAGCGAATAGTCTCTTTGGTGCCCAGAAGCCGAGTAGCCTCATGCTAAATGAGGCTGATTGGAGGGAGTTCCATCAACTGGTTCGTGCTGCGTGCAGAGAATTGAGGCGCGAGTGATCCACCCGGGGCCTTTGGTATGTCAGACTGAACTGCTCATGGCACATGCAACAGTCATGTACGCAATCAGACGCATTCTCTTTCAGATCTGCATGGGAAGAAACCAGTAATGCCTCCATGCCATATTATGATAGTGGAACACATGTGAACCTACCCAAGTCATTATCATCATTATTACTATTACGGTTGTTTCTACTATTATTATCATTATTCTTACTGTTATTACCATTAATACTATTATTCTTCTGATTATTCCTATTATTACTATTGTTATTATTCTACGTTGAGAGGCTGAACCCGTCCGATGCTGCAGAAGAAGTGGTCATCGACACAACCAAGACCCAAGCGCCGGCGCCTTCAGAGGCTCCGCCCGAGAACCCAAACAGAATCGACCCAGAGCTTTGGCCTCCGAAAGCTTCGACAGAGCTCCATAATAATAGTAATACTCGTAATAATCGTAATGATAGTAATAGTATGATAGTAATGATAGTAATAATAGTAGTAGTCGTAATGATAGCAATACTAGTAATAATAGTAATAGCAGTACTAATAGTAGTAATAATAATAATAGTATGCGATGATGGTAAAAATATGCGATAATAGTAATACAAGGATTAATACAACAAGTAATAGTGGTAATAATGAAAGCAATAAAATTAATCGTAATCATCATAGTAGCAACAATAATAGTAGTAATAGTAATAATGGTACTGATCATCATGATAGTAATGATGGCAATATGGTCCTGTCAAGGGATGTGTGTGAGCGCAGCATGTGTCGAGAGCTTCCATGCAAAAATGCCGGATTTGACAAGCAGTGCGAAGGTGACCTTAATGTTGCCGGATGGCTCAGGAATCATTGGACTTCGGGCTCTTCACATCCTATCCGCGACCGGGACGTCTTTTCTTCCAATGCGTCCCCGTCTTTTGGGTGACTCTGATCGGAATGTAGCTTAGCTGCAGTCCGGTTGTGTCTGATGCAGGCCAGAGCCATCTGTTTCGAGTCCCCTCTTTTTGGGGTCAATGAGCTGTGCCAAAAGGCAAATGTCTGTGCACATTGTATGGCCCGATCCCATGCGAACCTCAAACCCTGACCCTGAGCCCTAAAAGCTGAATGTGTTACATGCTGTCTGTTTTGGGTGTACGCAGTGGCTGTTTCAGCGCTTGTGCTTCTGCAAGTATATCTGTTAGAGCGTGGAGGCAGCGCAACTGGTGTGATTAGTTACCCCAACAGGAGTATGTGGATCAAAAGGCCCCAATATATACCCTATTATAATGTAGTAGTTTCCATTATCCCAATATAACCGCAGTATATGCCCTATTACAATCTCGTAGTTTCCATTTTCTTTTCCCTTATCCTAATCTAACCCCAATATATATATATACACCCTACTATACTGTAGTAGTTCCTGAACTTGAGTTGCCCTAAACCCTAAACCCTCCCTAAACCCTAAACCCCAAACCCGAAACCCTAAACCCTTGCACTGCTGTGCGATGCGCGTGTCTAAACCCTAAACTGAATGAGCCCGGGGCCGTCGAGCAGGGCGAACGCGCCGAAGCCGGCAGGCGAGGTAGCGGGTGACGCTGCTCCCAGTCGCACAGGCAGCTGTGGGGTCCGCAGCAAGCCTGGCAGGCTGCTGGCGAGTAACCCGTCAGGTCGCCCTTAGAATGAGGCACCCCGCACCATCCTCCAAATCGTTCTTTTCAGATGAGCCTGCCCCCCTTCAAGTGAATCTTGGGACCAGGAGGGAAATCGGTTGTTTCCAGGCTCCCAAAAAGGTCGAGGGCCCCTTCAGATTTCAAGGCCACCCTGCAGCTCGGAAGATTCTGAAACTGCCTGGAGGCAGGTCGCTGGAGGTTCCTGGCATCCACACTTGGCGATTCCGCACCACAATTTGCCACAACGTCCTAGTTGGCGCTGGTGTCTAAACCTGCTCACCGGGGCATCTCTCAAACCTTTCCTTTGTGAGCTGAATGCGTCTCCGAAACTACTCAGAGCTCGATAAGTGGCTATCGTCCCAGAAGCCTATTCTCTTTGTTGGGCTGGCTGAAAAGAACTAGAGGCCTCGAGCTAGACCCAGACCCAAACCTTGTACCCGCCGGTCTGGACAGGCCATTAAGTGATTCAAGGGTTGATCTGAAGCAGCTACAGGCCTCGGCCCAAATCCAAACTAGACCGCCCCCCTTACAGTCTAGACACGTCCAATTGTTCAAGGGTTGAGAGCCTCCGGGCAAGGCCCAATCTCGAAATAGACGGGTGCAAAAAACGAAAGGAGACAGGAGCGTGGTCAGAGTTCGAGAGAACCCTAAAACCCGTGAAGGTCAAGGCGAGGGTGGGCTCATGCAGGTCGGGGTGCGCGCCTGGGTGCTTCCAGCACCAGCGCACCCCCTCACTGAGACACCCTAAACCCTAAACCCTGAACCTGAACCCTATACTATAGTAGTTTCCATTTTCTTTTCCATTATCCCAATATAACCCCAATATAACCCTATATAACCCAATATAGTAGTTTCCCTAAGCCCTGAACTTGAGAAAGCCCAAGCCGTCAAGGTGGCCTGAGCTGCTCTCTAGCTTTCTACAGATGATTCGATGCCGAGCAATACCCGAAGATGATCCCTCCACAGGCCTACGAATAATGTTAGGGTTTAGAGTCCCCCCTAAAGTAGATAGAATATGGCTTTGGGTATATTGTAGTAAGATCCCCCTATACCCCATATTCTATCTACTTAAGGGGGACTATAGAGTATAAGGTTTCTGGCTGTGTGCGAGCCCAGATGCAAACAGGGTTTAGGGTTTAGAGTTCAGCCTCGACAGGCCTACAAATCATGAAGCAACGCCTGCGCTCCCATCCAGAGGCCGGGATGTCTGATTTGCAAAATAGATTCTAGTCCTTCTTGGGTGCACAAAGCCTTTTTTGTCGGGAAGCGGCCAGGTCGTGTGTTGGGGAAGCGACCATTTCTTGTTGGCTTTGATCGCCTGCATTGGCCTTGGTGTGTGGTGCCTGGGAGTTCCCATCTTGCTCTTCATCCGGATCTACTGCCTGCGAGATCGGCAAAGTCCGGAGAACTACCGAAAGTACGGGTACTTCATACAGGGCTTCGAGCCTGGATTTTGGTGCCGGCCTGATTAATTTCACCTTCCTGATGATATTAGAGCATTCCATGTTGTATCTGCAAGCTGACTGTATCGTTTGCAGGGAGGCCATGTCATGAGTGACGCTAAGAACCTTTTCCCCAGTCACTGAGGTGGTGGGACATCGTTGTCAAGCGGATTGACATCGGCCTCATGAATGTCATCACATACACAAACCTCGCGAACGATGAGAAAGCCAAGCTGCTCCTCTTTCCTTTCATGTCCGGAGTTCAGCTGGCGCTGTGCGCTTGGTGCAGGCCGTTCACGAACAGCCAGGCTGAAATTCTGGATTTTCTGGAAATGTGTTTGTTGAGCTTTCGCTTCATCCTCTTCAGTATGGTTGCCGTGATGTTGATCTTCAACCCTTCGGCGGAGATGACTTGGGTTCTTGCTGGTCTACTGGTCTTTCTGCTCTCAATGGTGTGCGGGTACTTCGCGCTGCACGTCGCGGCCCAGTTTCTGAGAACGGCAGGGAAGGATGAGGACAGCGAGGAAGAGGAGCTTCAAGTCGGCACGTCTCCGACATCAACGACAACAAAATCAAGGAGACGAAAGCAGAACTGTCTCATGCGACTACTAGGCCAGGGCGAGCGTTTACATGCAGCTGGTGTAAGCATGTCAGATTGACCCTGAAGGCCGCTTCAAGACATGGGCATTGAACACCGCCGCCTTCTTCTTACAGGAGTCTGATGATGAGAAGTACGTTGTTGCGTGTCTTGGCAGACCAAAGTCTGTTGCAATGAGCTCGCGGAAGACAATGTGTCACGCCAAGTATGAAGTGGTTGCATGCAATCACGCGGGCAACGACAGAGCCAGAGATCTGATTTTGCTGTCTCCTTCACTCCAACTGTTCACGGGCACTGCAAAAGCTCAGACTATAGCTCATGTGGCTAGCTTGTTGCTTATGTGAGGGTTGGCGGCTGGAAAGTCGCGTGTCAAGGTGGTCGGTCTACAAGCCCAATGTGGAGTTAGTGTGTGCGGGGGGTGAGAGACGCTCTTCTTCCGGATTCAGGGCAAGACTGGCTACTCGTCAGTGGAAGCCATGGCATGTCCATTCCAGGAGCATTTTTGTGTCATGGGGAGTTCCACAACTGCTTACGCTTGAGAGTTGAATCATGTCCTTGGCTTTGCATCTTTTGAGAAAGTTCGAGTTGCACGGCATGAGAGACTTGTATCTGATGAAATGTGGTTGTGCATGTGCTGCCGTTGTCCGGACATGTCCTCGCTCAGTTTCAGGCCTGCCAGGTCTTGAAGCATGACGTGGTCACAGCCAAGGTTGCGTATGCAAAAGCAGCTCGTGCTTCAATTCTGCGGTTTGGCTCCGGTGTTCAGCGTCAAGTGCTCGTGAAGGCGCGATTTGAGCTGTAACTTGCCATGACATGCAATTCCACTCGTGCGACAAGCTTTGCCTAATTTCCGGGGATGCTTGCCTTGGGCGATGAGTGGGGATGTTACCTGCAATGGGGGAGTAGGCCGATCGGATGGTAGGTGGGTGGGTGAGTGAGTGGTTGGATCAATGCGGACAAACTGGAAGCAAGAAATCCTTGTGATGCTATAGTCCCCCTAGATGGAATATGAATTTGGGTATATTACAATAAGATCCGCATATACCCCATATTCTATCCACTTGAGGTGGACTATACGTGATAATGCTTGCTGCATGAGTTTGCCTCGCTTGATGCTGCAAGCTGTGATGGCTGTTGCAGGCCTACTCAGAGTTTTCGATCCTCTGGTTGGATGAATTCGGCCAGCCATACCTGCCAGCAGAAGCTGTCCAAATTCTATGCGCTCTCTCCACCACGGCTAGACGTGTTCCAGCAAAGACCCCTAAAGAAGGTGTGTATTACAAGTGGAAGCAAGAGGTGATAACTCTGCTGGAGTACGCCACCGACCTAGATCATATTTGGCACGTGAATCCTGATGATATCTTGGAAGTCACGCAGCGCTTGGGCAAGCTTGGCGAAACAGAAGCTGTTCGTCTAGCACCTTGGCAATGTTTGCGAGCGCTTCCTTCAGCAGAAATCAAGATTCACTTCGAGGTTCTGGAAGCATCATCGAATCACATACTTTGCCGTGAGGTAGAAGCCATCCAGGGGCTGCTCCGCACCCAAAAGCTGAAACGACCAGCAGAAAAGCTGCAACTCAAGGCACGCCAGTCCTCAAGTGTGTGGAAAGCATATTTGCCATGCTCCTGCGATGCAGTAGCCAGGATGATGACGTTGCGCCAGCTCTGAGCATGGAAGATCTTGGCAGCCTGCTTTCATGCTTTTCCACAAGCAGGAATGCTGTGGAGGATTGAGATGTGTTGAGTTGCATGCCACCTTCCCAGCCTTGCTTGAGTGCAAAGGGATGCGAGGGCAAATCTGAGGCGACGAAGGCCTGGAAGAGGCTTGCAAGATTGTGCCACGCGAGAAGGCCCAGGGAAAGCAGCAACGGCAGTCACAGTCATCTCTTCTCGTGATCCATGTACAAAGCTGGCTTTCCCTGTGTGCACCGGCTGTAGACGTCTATTAGTGCCTGCTGCTTGCCAGGGAAATGACACAAATGATGCCCGCGCCCTGGTAGAGCTCTGCTGCCTTGCCGTTTAGTATGAGGCCCTGATGCAAAAAAAGGAATACTCAGGATCTGGTAGCTTCCCGCACGGAGGCCTCTTTCTAGGACATCCCTCTTTGAGGGCACCGTACCTCTAAGTACAACCGGCAGTGCAAGCTTCTGCCCTGAGCTGAGGTCCAAATGGTTGCTGTGAAGGAGCAGGCAAGACCCAGCTAAAGTTTTTTTGGTTATATTGGGGTAATATTGGGGTTATATAGGGATAACGGAAAAGAAAATGGAAACTACTATAGTAATATTGGGGTTATATTGGGATAATGGAAAATAAAATGGAAACTACTATAATGGGTTATATAGGGTTTTAGTATTATTCAGAACTATGGGGACCATTAGGGACGCTCCACAATCTAAAGTCTGTAGCGAAGTCCAAATTTTCTTTGATTACACAAGTGCTGCGGCTCCAAATGCCTCGTCAGCACCTTGACCGCGTTTCAGAGCGTGTTTTCTCTTGCTGCATGTTATGCAAAATGTCAAAACAATGTAGCTTTCGTCCCATGCTTGCCAGTGTTTTCTCATTTTGCAGTTTCGTGTTTTTTTGGCGACATGCGTGGGCTTCGAGTTTGGTAATTGCGAAGATTTTACGAGTTTCTATGTCGTCCCGTGCTGGCTAACGTTTTGAGCATGTCACGGTTTTGAAGGCCGAAATTCCAGTGTTACATTCGAGTATTGTCAATCACGGGTCGATCGATTTGCTGATTCTGCTGATGTTGGCATCACGGCGGCTAGATAGGTGCGCTCGCGACAATGTAAGCTATTTGGTTTCCAGAATGTATACGGTTTCCAGAACCTTTTCAATCACAGTTGCTGACCTTGCACTGTTTCCTCATTCTGCACTTACTTTTTTTGGGGAGGTACGTGGTTTTCGAGTTCGTGTTTTATCGGGGCTTGTATTTCGCCAGCAACGCGTGGGTCACTGATTCAGTTTTCATGGTTTCTTGGTATAAAGCAGTGCGCGCTGCGCCATCGTCAAACCATGCCAATTGCCCCATTCAATGCCGATAACGCGCAGTAGGTGGCTTGCCTGTTAAAGACCATCCCCACCCTTCCTGTTCTGAGCATGGTACAAGTCTTTTAAAGTTTCCCAGGTTCAAGTCGGTTCACCTGCTGACTCTGTTGAAGTTGGAGCTTCTGTCCAGGGAGCGCAGTTTTCCATTGTTTGCATTTTACTTCCTAGAGTAGCTCAAAGCCAAGTTGTCCCAAGGCAGTGCCCCAAAACCAGGCAGCCATGGTTGCTTTCAGAGCCCGCAAGAAGTCAACATGAGAAGTGTAGTCCCAAGACTCTAAACTCCCCAAACTGCCAAACCATCTCTTATACGAGTATATAGTAACTAATAGGGTTTCTTTATTCTAGTAACTTAGTTTAAATTCAAACGGGGTTGCCTGAAGGCTGCGCAGACCACTGCAAGCGCTCGCGTCAAACGCCCGAGCCATGCGCTCCAGAACCTGGCAGACGCGCCTGCAGGACCTGGGCTGCCTTGAAAGATGAGCGCAGTCACATGAGCTACTATAGTCTAATTATCTAATGATTCCTTAAAGGGGGCTATATAGGGGATCATATAGGATTAAGGGTTTAGGGTCTAGACTCCTTAAAGGGCATTATATAGGGTATATAGGAGAGTCTTACTCATATCTGTTGTTAAGGGGGATACTAGGAGTCTAGGCTGTAGCTCACATAAATTTCCAAACACGTCCAAAAACTAAGGGTCCCGTTTTGGGGGGCTAGTCAGTATCTCAATTGTTGGAAAATTACAACACCGTAGCATGTTGGTCCATCTGTAGGATCACTCCCCTACAGTGACAGTCTTTTGTAAGCTCTGTATCAAGCCTTAAGAGGCTTTTGTTATACGCACCATGGCGCAGTTCGGGTGCGTGGGGCCTGAACCTAAGTCTTTGTCTCTCACTGACCTCAGGAACTTTCAGGGACCTTACTATAAAGGACCTATCGTGGCAAATAGCAAAGAAAAGAGTCTGCAAATCACGCGTAAACAGATGCATGCATACATACATGTGCAGTATACGGGGTAGTCCCATTTGTGAGAAGTTCCGAGGCTCTGAGACCCTCCTTCTAAATTCAACGTTATCTGTGTATGCGCCAACCTGATTTCAAGAATTTCGCATGGCGGTATAGGAGACGAGCGGTCGCAGCCGCTGGCGGAGAGCTCTGCCCCTTGCAGAAAAGTCAGTCCTGAGTACCTGTCAGAAATCAACTCCTCTTGTTACGCCTCAGCGGCTTGCGTCCACCTTGAGCAAGTACAAGCCAAAGCTTCCTATACCTTAAGCCATAAACTGGGGTACCGCAACCGTGCCTGCAGTGCGATGCGCGTGCTGAAGCTTTAGTCCCTAAACTGAACTCTCGCACGTGTTGAAGCTCTACAGTCCCTCTGAAGAAGACACTTAGGAACAGATTGGAACTTTCTGAATGTGGGAGTGGTTTTTGGGGGTTATCCTATAGGGTCACAGGATCATGTTGAGAGGCACCCGAAAGATCCGAGGCATGAGTTGCCTCCTGCCTGTAGCTTGCAGCGAACTTAGGTGGATCCGACGAATTCCGCGTCCACAGAAGCTCCAGGAGCAAGTGCAGGGCTTGCAAAACTTGATACCATATTGTTATTATTACTACTATTACTATTATTCTTATTATTATTATTACTATTATTATTATTATTGTTATTACTATTATTGTTACTATTATTACTATTGTTATTATTGTTATTATTATTATTACTATTATTATTATAGTTATCTATTATTATTACTATTATTATTATTATTGTTATTACTATTATTATTACTATTATTATTATTATTGTTATTATTAGTATTATTATTATAACTTGATACCTGTAACCCTCTCGCCTGACCATTTAGCGGACATGACTCTCCACTTGAAGTATGGTTTTGTCTTTGGACTGCAACGGAAATTTACATGGTAGAGAGGTGTCTCCTTTTTTGTGGGACGGGATTAGTCAATAGTCGTGGAAGCTGCTCACTGAAATTTTAGCTCATGCAGAGTATCACTCAGGGCTTCCTTCGCCTTTCGGCTTTCGGGACGCGTGGCTCAGGAGCCAAAGAGCCAGAGCCGCCAAAGCCAGTCAGAAAGGTGGATAGCTTGTTGGGCTCGTGTGCTTTTGCTGTTTCGTCCTTTTGTGCGCAGGCGCAGCATAAATGGTTTTGAGTGCAGTGTCTGAAGGTCGTTGCGAGTGTGCCGCCGCCAAACATAAATTTGAAGGAGGCCAACAGCGATCATCTACTTGGGACATTCTGTCGCATGACATGGTCGCCTGCGCAGGTCAGGAAGATGTCGCCAAGGACCTCCAGTGCAGTGGTCAACGCCCCCAAAAAGGCAGTCCATGTGCCCCGGGTTGTTTCACTGGGAGCTCCGACTCCGCAGACAAATCCGGCCGTGGCAGCGAGCCCGGATCCGGTTGCCAGCCCGACCTCGGGCCCAAAAATGGCGGCCAGCACGAAACCAGTGCCTGGCCCAAAGCCTGCAGCGAAAGTTGCAGCCGCGGCTCGCCCAGGAGCCAAGCCAACGGCCACAAGGCTTGTGCCCGCACCTGGGCGGCATTAAGCTCGAGAAGCCCTGTGCTTTCATGTTTCGTTTTGATACTGAACAGCGTTATTCGTAACCATTCGTAAGCGTTGCAAGCCAGGACTCGCACACAAACAACATCGAACCCAAAGATAACCGGCCACGGCACTGTGACAGACTTCAGAGCCAGAAACAGCTGAGGCACTGCAAATTGTTGCGTGTTGCTGGTCTTATCATTGCCATCAACACTGGACTGGACAAAGTTGTTGCAGGTGTCGATTCGCTACTCAGCTCTCGCGCTTCCTGGTCCTTTGTTTCCGCATCCTCATCTCCTCCTTTTTGTGGTAGTTATCTCGTCTTCGTTGTCCTCCGTGGTGGTCGCTCTTGTGGTCGTGGTCGTCATGGTCGTCGTGGCCCTCGTGGCCGTCGTGGTCGTCGTTGTGGTCGTCGTTGTGGTCGTCGTGATTGTGGTTGTCGCCGTCGTCGTGGTCATCGCCGCCGCTGCGGCGGCGGTGGCGGTAGTGGTGGTGTTCGTCGTGGGGGTGCTCGTTACGGTGTTTGTTGTCGTGGTGGTGGCGATGGTGGCAGCGGTGGCGGCGGCGGCGGCGCTGCTGCTGCTGCTGCTGCTGCTGCTGCTGCTGGTGCTGGTGCTGGTGCTGGTGCTGGTGCTGGTGCTGGTGCTGGTGCTGGTGGTGCTGTCGTTGTTGTTGTTG